AGAAAATCAGAGACCAAAATAAAATAGAAACTAGAAAAATATACAAAAGATCAACAAAACAGATAGTTGGTGTTTTGACAACATAAAATTTAAAAGCCTTTACTTAGACTAAGAAAAAAAAAGAGAGAAGACTCAAATAAAATCAGAGATGAAAAAGGAGACATAACAATTAATGCATAGAAGTACAAAGGATCATGAAATAATATTATAAACAACTAAATATACCACCAAATTTGACAGAGTAAAAGAAATAGATAAATTCATGGACATATACAACATACAAAGATTGACTTATGAAGAAACAGAAAATCTCAACAGACCAATAATGAGTGAGGAAATTGAATCAGTAATAAGTTACATCAGAGAAAAGATTAGGACCTGATAGCTTCATCATTGAATTCTACCAGATATTTAAAGAGTAACATACCAGCTCTTCTCAAATTATTCCAGAAAATCAAAGAAGAGGAAATACTTCCAAGCTCATTGTACAAGTCCTAGATTGTCCTGATACCAAAATAAGAGGACACAACCACCACCAAAAAAAGCACAAAAAAAAAAAAGAGAGAGAGAGAGAGAGCGAGAAAACTACAGACCAATATTCCTGATGGACATAAATGCAAATATGATCAAGTGAGATTCAGTCCAGGAATGCACATATGGTTTAACATATGCAAATCCATAAATGTGGTACATCACAATAATAGAAAGGACAAAAGCCACCTGATCATTTCAATAAATGCAGGAAAAGCATTTGACAAAATTCAACATCAGTTCCTGATAAAAAGTTTCAACAAATTAGATGTAGAAGATATATACCTCAATATATTAAAAGTCGCATATGACAAGCCCACAGCTAACGTCATACTAAACAGGGCTTTTCCTCTAAGATCTGGAATCAGACAAGAGTGTCCACTTTTACCACTTCTATTCAACGTAAAACTGAAAGTATTAGCCTGAGCAAGTAGGCAAGAGACAAAATAAAACGCATCAAAATTGGAAAGGAGGAAGTCAAATAGTCTCTGTTTGCAGATGACAGGATCGTACATATGGAAAACCCTAAGGACTCCACCAAGCAGTGGAGGGAACTGTTAGAGCTAATAAATGAATTCAGAAAAGTTACAGGATACAAAATCAATAAACAAATATTAACAGCATTTTTAAATGTGAATAGCGAACTCTCTGAAAGAAAAAGAAATCAAGAAAGCAATCACATTTACAATCGCTAAAAATAATAGGATACCTAGGAATAAACTTAACCAAAGAAGTAAAAGGTCTCTACGCTGAAAACTATAAAACATTGATGAAAGAAATTGAAGAGGACACAAAAAAGTGGAAATATATTTTATGTTCATGGATTGGTAGAATTAATGTTGTTAAAATTGTCCATATTATCTAATGTTATCTACAGATTCAATACAATCTTTGTCAAAATACCAATAACATTCTTTACATAATTTTTAACTCCTGAAATTTGTATGAAACTACAAAAGAGAAATAAAAAAACAAAAAAAAATGGAATAAAAAAAAAAAGAAACTACAAAAGACCCTGAATAGCCAAAGCAACCTTGGGGTTTGGGGGGAAGCAGAAGGCACCACACAACCTAACTTTAAAACATTTTACAAAGCTGTTGGAACCAAAACAGCAAGGTATTGGCGCAAAAACAGACATATAGACTAATGGAACAGAACAGACAACCCAAGAATAAATCCATGCATCTATAGCCAACTGCTTTTCAACAAAGGTACCAAGACCATACACTGGGGAAAGAATAGTCTCTTCAATAAATGGTGCTGGAAAAATTGAATACCCACATGGAGAAGAATGAAACTGGACTCTTATCTTTTACAATATACAAAAATCAGCTTAAAACATATTAAAAAATTAAATATAAGGCCAGACACTATGAAACTTTTAGAAGAAAATGTAGGAGAAATACTTCATGACATTGGACTGTGCAAGGATTTTTTGGATAAGACCTCAAAAGCACAGGCAACAAAAGCAAAAACAGACAAATGGAATTACATCAAACTAAAAAGCTTCCGTTCAGCAAAGGGAACAATCAGCAGAGTGAAGTGACAACCTACAGAATGGGAGAACATATTTTCAAACTATATGTAATGACAAGGAGTTAATATCTGGAATATACAAGGAACTTAAGTAGTTCAACAGCAAACAATAATCATAATAATCCAGTTTTTTAAATGGGCAAAAGACCTTAAAAGACATTTCTCCAAAAAGAGACATACAAATGACCAAAAGGTATGTGAAAAAATGCTCATCACTAATCATCAGGAAAATGCAAATAAAAACCACAATGAGATATCATCTCACTTCAGTCAGAATGGCTGTTATCAAAAAAAAAACAACAACAAACGTTGGCAAGTACGTGGAAAAAAGGAACTTTTACATACAGTCAGTGGGACTGCAAATCAGTAGAGCCATTATGGAAAATGGTATGGAGGTTCTCAAAACATTAAAAATGGAACTACCATTGCTTAGCAATCCTATATACCCAAAATAAATAAAATCAGTATGTCAAAGAGATATCTGCACTCCCATGTTTATTGCTGCAGTATTTACAATACCCAAGACATGGAATCAACTGAAGTATCCAACAGTCAATAAATGGTTTGGAAAAAGGAGTGTATATATGTATACATATATATATACACATATACACATATATACGTGTGTATACATATATACACATATATACATATATACACCCTATATATATATATATATACACATGCACACATATATACACACATATATGTATGTGTGTATACACTACATATATACACACACATACACACACATACACACATACATATACACATATATGTACACACATACATATACACATATATGTACACATATACACATATATATGTACACACACATATATACACACACATATACACACACACTACACATATACACACATATATACACACACATATACACACATATGTACACACATATATACAAACATATATACACATGTATATACTACATATATACACACACACATATATACACACACATATACACTACATATATACACATATATGTGTGTGTACACTACATGTATACACACACGTGTATACACATATACACATATGCATATACATATGTGTGTATATGTGTGCACGTGTATATATATGTGTGTCTGTGTGTAATATGTGTGTATGTATATGTGTATACTATCTCATTGTATATGTGTGTAGTATTCCATTGTATGTCTGTATGTATATAATATGTGTGTACTATTATAGTCCCACCACAAGGAAATGATAAATGCTCAAGGTGATAGGTCTACTAATTACCCTGATTTGATAATTACACTATGCATACATGTATTAAAACAACACATTGTACCCTATAAATATGTACAATTATTATGCATCAACTAAAAATGAAAATAAAAATATGTATTAATTTTGTCATTCATTTTATTGATGCTATAATATTCCAAGCGCTCATTACTGTAGCTATAGAACCACAAAAAAATTCACAACGAGTTCTCAATTTTAAGCCTTAGGATTAAAAATGAAGATAGATTACTTTTTTCCAATGAGAAAAACACACACACAAAAAAAAAAATAAAAAGGAATGAAATAACATGTGTTACCATTAATTTTTTTAAGTGCCAATTCAACTTGTTTTTAACTCATGGTTTGGAATAATGAGCAGTAGAGAAAAACAAGTCAAATATTTATACATATGCAGGCAGAATAAGAATAAAAAAGCTGGATCAGTTTTAAGAGGGGCTCCAAACCCTGTTCATTTTTCTACAATCAAAATGCAGAAATGATATGATGAAGTACACATAAGACCTTCAGAACATCATGAATCTGATCTCAATGGCTGAATTCTTAGAGACAAATATAAAGTATACCCATGGTACAGAAATAACTTGTCTTTAAAGCTCAAACTTGATCAAGCACCTCACATGGAGGGCTTGTTATGAGACAAATGGTTAGATGCCACCACCTCAGAGTCTTTTATTCAGCAGGTCTGAGGCGGGACCTGAAATCTGCATTTCTAAAAGTTCCCAGGTGATGCTGATACTGCATGTCTAGCAACCACACTGAAAATTGCTGACCTAGACAATGTGGGTATTTCCGTAACGTGCAATTCTCCAAAGATGGTTGGGAGGAGAACATAGTAGTATTTTATTTCAAATAGGAACATCACTGAATGGGAAATAAGGGGATTGAAATTATGGTCAAGAAGTGCTGTGACTCCTAAAGACATCTGTTCTGTGAACCAGTGTAAACCAGGGACTCTATTGACCCCACTGCCTTGCTGAAGTCTCTAGTTCAAAGCGTCTGTGGGCGCCCACTGGTCCCCAAGAATGTACTGTAAGTGCAAAGGGGAGCCAATTTGGCCTGATGTAGATACTACAATCCCAGAGGAGAGATCGGGGCACAGCTGCAAGTGCCCTGAAAGAATATGAGTCGACTTTCAACAGAGAGCTAAAAAAAAAAAAAAAAAAAAAAAATACCAGCTTTTTGTTCTCTTTATTGTTCCTTAAGCAATTTCAAGTATTATCTGATTCCCAGCTGTGACTGAATTCCCGGCCATTGAAAAGCACTATTGGTACTATAACTGGGCAAGGTTATTAATAAGGTCCAGCATTTACTGAGAGCCTACTGTATGCTGGACACTTTACATGCATTATCCTATATAATCCTTGTATCCTGTATAATCAGCCTGTAAAGTAGGAGCTACTATCATTTTCCTCATTTTCCAAATGAGCAAACTGAGGTTAAGGAATTGGTGCTAAATCATAAAACCAGTAAGTAACAGAGCCAGGTTTCCAACCAGAGCACACAGGCTGCTCATCCTGGGCTATTTTCAGACAATACAGACACATATGAAGAATAATCTGTGAAAGGCACATCTACAAAGCATTACTGGTCCCTAAGAATCTTCAGAACCAAACACATTTCTATATGCATATCTTGTCACTTCCCTTGAAAAGCATGATTACTCCTTGTTGCTACTAAACAACAAACTAAAATATGATGCAGAAAGATACAAGGTTTCCTGCGTTCTGTCAGCTTCATCATTTTTATGTTATTTGATCGATAGAAATCCTCTTTGTCCATAAACAATGTGTTGATTTCCACCCCTGCTGTGTATCCTCTTCTTTGTTATGAATCTTGGTCTCTCTCTTAGCTGTCATACTTCTCCAGGCTAAGGAAACAAACATCTGAAGAAAGCACATAATTTCCGTGATTAAGCACCTAGAAATCCTGCATGCCTTTGCCTTATTTACTATTCCCAACAACCTGCAAAGCCGAAACTGCTTTCCCCGTTTCATGCATAAGGAAATGAGTCTGGGGATATGGAGTGTCGTGGTTAAAATCATGCAACCAGAAAGGGGCTGAGGAGCTCCTTGAGTCTATGACCTTTGACTCCAAAGCTGTTCTCTGTTTCTTTCCCCTTACTCTCCTTGCTCTTTCTACCACTTCTGTACTTTTCAAACACGCATTTCATAAAGCCTAAATAGAGAAAGTAGAGTGAAAGGTTGGCATGCAAAATATTTTAAAATGTATATCGTTCCCTGTGATATTAGGGCCACCATTGTCATTCAGCTGAGGTCTCTGGGATGGACGCCCCTCGGATTAGCTCATGAGGAATGTGTTCTGTGTGTTTGCCCCTTGAATAGGATGAACTAAAGTCAGTTGGTCAGTGGCTTGTCTGCGTAAGAGTTGAGTCTGACCTGGTTGGTGCAGTGGGGACAGTGCTGGCTCATCCGGTCTTGTTTGAACTGTGCTATGTTACACTGCCACCCTGTGGTCCCTTCATTGTGAGTTCAGAAACAAAACTGTGGCTTGACAAAATCAGCCTCATAAACCATTGGGAGTGAGTTTGGAGTAGGGGCTGAAGGAGAAACCAGGTTTGGGAAAGGATATGAGAGGCCTTAACTTGCCAGGGAAGACGTAGGTCATTTTCAATATAAAGTAATTTACTGGTTATGAACACAGGACTTGGAGTCAGGTCGACCAGAGTTTAAACCTACCAACTGTTAGAAGAAATTAGTTCTAATGTTTGACAGCAGAGTAGGATGGCTACAGTGAACAGCAATGTATTGTATATTCCAAAACATCGAGAAGATAGGATTTTAAATGTTCCCAACATATAGAAATGGCAAATATGCAAGATGATGGATACCCTAAATACCCTGATCCTTTCACATTCTATGCATGTGTTAAAAGAAAAACCTTCAGCCAAATTAAATTTAAAGGAGTTTAACTGAGCAATGAACAATTCATAAATCGGGCAGCACGTAGAATCACAGCAGATTCAGAGAGACTTCAGCACAGCCACGTGGTAGAAGAAGACTTATAGATAAAAAAGGGATTTGATGTACAGAAATTAGAAATGAGGTACAAAAAAACTGGCTTGGTTACAGCTTAGCATTTGCCTTATTTGCACATAGTTTGAATACTCAACAGCATGTGAGTGGTTGAAGGATGGCTGCTGGGATTGGCCAAGACCCAACCACTGTTAGGGGCACACACTCCCATGTTAGGTTCTCACTCTTGTCTACTACTATGTTAGGTTGCAGTTCATCCACAAGGACTTAAATACAGAAGTACAGAGTCCTTCTCAGGCCATATTTGGTTCACTTTTTAAATTCCCCCCTTTTGGTCATTTTCTCAGTTTTAAGAGTGATCAAAACTTTAGTCATTGATGTCACTATTACCATTGTAAATGTACATTATTTGGTCTTGAAATGCACTGGGAAACAGCAGACAGTGAGTTTTGCAAAGGTAAGAACAAGAACTGAGGAGAGGGTACCTCCTTATGTTGGAACACTCTGTTTACACAAGTAACACAATAGCACATGTACCCCATAAATATGTACAAACATTTTTTGCTTTTTTGAGATGGAGTTTCGCTCTTGTTGCCCAGGCTGGAGTGCAATGGCACTATCTCAGCTCACTGCAACCTCCACCACCTAGGTTCAAGTGATTCTCCTGCCTCAGCCTCTTCAGCAGCTTGGATTACAGGTGCCCACCACCACACCTGGGTAATTTTTGTATTTTTAGCGGAGATGGGGTTTTGCCAGGTTGGCCAGCCTTGTCTCGAACTCCTGACCTGAGATGATCCACCCGCCTCAGCCTCCCAAAGTGCAGGAATTACAGGGGTGAGCCACCTCACCCGGCCTAATATGTACAAATATTATGTATCAATTTTTTTTTAATTTAATAAAGTCACCAATGGAATAATTCCTTCTCTGGGCCCAAGATTCTTGGTCTGTATAATGGGAATAGTAATAATTTCTCAAGGCTGTTGTAAGAATTAAATAAGACAATGCATGCAAAGTGCTTAGTCTTAATCATGACACATAAGTTTTGTTGTTATCATGGAGCTGGGATTAGAACAGTGCTCTCCTTTCCAAAGCCCCAGTGAAGACAGCCCTTCCTTGTCACTTCCTAGGACTCCCTCTTTCTACTTTGCCCCTCTTTGGTTTGAGGTTTCACATGGGATCTTCTGCCACCTTTGAAGTGTAAACTTTGGGAGGATCAAACAGAGCACATTTCCCATCTCATCTTTATCATCTAGGAGTTTTGAGACTTTTTGCAGATTCATATTAACCTCCTGAACCTTAGTTTCCTCATCGGTAAAATAGTGCTAATAACACCCAGGTCTTCAGATTATAGAAAGAATTAGAAACAACAAATACGAAGCACTGGACGTGGTGTCTTGTACATAGTCATCACTCCATATGGTAATCCTTATTACTGTCATTATTACACTTGCTCATTCCAATTCTTCAATCCTTCCTTTGTCCTTCAAGAAGCAACAAGATTTTTAAGCTCACCTTAGCCATTAAATATCCTTTGGGTAATTGGGATGGAAAAAAACACAGCCCCAATAAAACATTATTTTTCCCAGATTTCATAACGTATTTATTTTCTCAAGATTGTGAAAATCATTTTCACATTTTGATGTTTCTAAAATTGAAGACTATTTTAAAATCAATGTGTATTTGTATGTTTTGGTTTTTTCTACCTAGTTCCCAACTTCCTCCCAAAAAATTATTAAATCAAAGTATACCTTAGAATTTAGAATTAAGAAATATAAGCAGATTCCGTTTTCATCTACCTTCAAATAGAAAAGACTAGATTTATGGTGACATCCTGAATCTTCTTAACCACAATAACATGAATTCCCCAAATCATAGTTCTCTTCGCTTTCAGCCTTACTGCTAAAAGATTCATCCTTAAAATTCTCTCCCAACTATTTTTCTGGGGTCCCCAGAGTATCTCACATGTGCTCATATTCTTTGGCTGTGAAGCCCTGCCCTCTCGGTTCTCTTTTTGGGGGGCTGCTGCTGCTCCCCAGAGACCTGCCCTCGTCAGGACCAGCATCCCCCAGTGCACTGAGGTTGCAACAGAGAAGCCGCAATCCCCAACCACTGCCAGCCAGTCTCTCATGACCACCTTCCTTCGCCTCTGGCAGAAGCCCTCTGCACTTTCCCCATCAGGCCTCAGGCCAGCCCCTTCCCCAAGCAGAGGGACAGGCAGACACCCTGCCATTCTCATGCCAACCCCCTTCTCTCCATCTCTCTCCTTAGGTATCTCTCCACTTGCCAACATTCCTCTCTACTCTTTCCACTAAAAGATTAAAAACCAAAAGCCCCCATGAGCATTTGGTGCTTAGAGAGGTAGCCAGACTTTCAGTTCCTCTAAGCATCAGATTAGATTTCCAGGTTGGGTTTAGCTAGTTTAATCTATAACAAAAACATAATACAGAGAGAAATCATTCCTTTTTTCCAAAAAGATATCTCATGAGTATAAAAATATATTTGTATAATGTAAAAATTTTCATTCTAACCTCATATATAAACATATATATGCATATTTTTACATTTGTGGATTATAGGTTTCCACTAACTATATGAACTGTAATAAAATTGTATTACATAAATACATGCATACAATTTATATTATACATAATGTTGATACTTTTGTGAAGTAAATAGTATTAATTATGCATTTATTGTGTGCTACAATCATGAATGCATTTAACCGCAACAAATCTTTGAAGCAAATACTGTTATTAGCTCAATTTCACAGGTGAGCAAACAGAGGCACAAAGCATTCAATACTTTGTTCAGAGTTTCTCCAGGTGGTATGGAGCTGAGCCTGGATTTGAACCCAGGTAGCTTGGAGCAACATCCTAAGTACAGAGCTCTTTTATCATTTTTATCATCTGGGCCAGACTGCAGATCAAAGGAGCTCCCTGAGCATGTTTTGACTGATGGCTATGGTATTAGTCCATTCTCATGCTGCTATGAAGAAATATCCAAGACTGGGTAATTTATAAAGAAAAGAGGTTTAATTGACTCACAGCTCTGCATGGCTGGGGATGCCTCAGGAAACTTAATCGTGGTGGAAAGTACCTCTTCAGAGGGTGGCAGGGGAGAGAATGAGTGCCAGCAGGGGAAATGCCAGATACTTATAAAACCATCAGATCTCATGAGAACTCACTTACTGTCACAAGAACAGCATGGGGAAAACCGCCCCATGATCCAATCACTTCCAACCAGATCCCTCCCACAGACAACACATGGGGATTATGGGAACCACAATACACGATGAGATTTGAGTTGGGGCACGGCCAAACCATATCAGCTGCAAATGATAAGCTGCCGTATGATACAATATCCTCCCATCCACTCCAACCCCCCACAACAAACATATAAAAAATATTTATGTTTACTTCAAGGCAAGGACCAATTTTCTTTTGGAAAATGTTTTTAAAAATCAAAATCACCCACCTTAATTTTCAAGGGAGGAGGATGAAGAGCCAGAGGCATGGGATAGATGGGCCCCTGTTTGCATTCAATGAAACATGTGTTCCTTTGAAGCAACGGCAGTGAGTTGAGCCATTCAAGGGTTTAACCCAAGTGATTATATGACAAGCCCCTTCCCTTGCAATACAGAATTAGATTGGAACTCTTCTATTTTCCATTTCTCTATATCTCAGAAACAGATGAATAGCCCTGAGCCCTCTAGACTCAATTGAAAAAGATTTGGCTCTGTTTCTTGAATATGCAATATGCATTCCCAGGATACCTGAGCTGGCAGCACTAACGCTGAATACTAAAACTGCTCCACCTTGGGCCGAGTAGGGACCTGGCTTTTCGAGGTCACTGAAATATAGTTAGGATGGCTGCCTCGGTTTCTAATGAAAGGAAACTTGTTACATAATTGAAAACAAGCCTAACGTGCTTCATTCATTACTGTCAGAAGAAAAAAAAAAAGAAGAAACAGTCCTGTTACTTACCCTCTCAAAGTCCCTCTGGCCAATCTGCCTGCATAAAAACTAGCCCATCATCCCCAGCCACTCCAGGTTTTGGCAGCACCTTCTCTAGTCCAGCCCTTGGCACTGAAGATAAAATGATCTTTGTAGCTGCTTCTTTGGGAAGGTAACTTCAGTGCAGTGGAACAACTAATGAGGGTGGAAGAATAACTGACATTTCACTCTGGCCTAAATAGGTTGTTTCAGCCGCAGCATGCAGCTGGTAGGTCAGTCAACCAACACCTTTTTCTAATTCTTCCAAAGAAAAACAAAATGAACTTGGACACCTCCGGGCCCTAGAGAATGTGCTGGCAGCCCAACTGAGTTATAGCCTGCAACTCTGATAACTGAAGAGCTGATGGCTTACTCTTTCTTATTTACTTTCAATTCTCATTGTCTATTGCCCAGGACACCTGGAAGGCAGCAGCACCTATTAAGACACAGGTGGAAGTTATCATACAAATCGCCTTAGTTGCGATCTTCTCCTGAGCTAAATGGAAACTCTGACACCAACACGCAGATCTTGTGCACAAGCCCCTTCTCAAGGCAAGCCAGTAAGAGGCAATTAAAGTGAGTGTTCTCAGCTGGACTATTATGTCCAGGTGCTGCCTCGGCTATCTCTTTATAGCAAAGTGAAAGCTGAAGAGGTCTTGGGTTAAACTGAATAAAGATTTTCCCAAGAGATGCCACTGCTAAGATACCATCAACTCAACTTGTGCGTCTGTGAAAAGAGATCCAATTCGTGATATCCATAGCCAAAGTCAAGCCCACTAGATAAAGCTTATAAAAGAGTCGGTCTTTAAAAATGGCCTGTATTCTGGGCTATTCAAAGACAGGAAGACCAAAAAGAACTTAATCCCAAACACATGAAAACTCTGGCTGAGGAGTACCCAAACTGAAAAGGGATAAGGACAGCATCACATAAGGCTTAAAGAGATAAAAATAGCAAATCAATTATCTTCAAGAAACTAACCTCTCTTCCTGGAGAAGAGAATCTTAGAAGTTGAATTAACTGTACTCCTCACATCTTCTAACTCCATTTCATTCCCTGAAAGCACCAAGTTCAGCCAATTTCTGACACTGTATTTCACCTAGTCCACAAATATTTATGGAAACGTACTGCATGCCAACTATTCTACAGCAGTGAAGAAGCTTAACCCAAACCTCTGTCTTCAGAGTTTACAGTCTGTTGGAGCCAAGTGCCCCTCCAACTATGTCATGTACAGTAAGATGAATTGGAAAGGACAATGAACTAAGACTTAAGAAAATTGAGGTCAAGACTCAGCTTCACCCTTGACCTTATAAAAGACCATTCACAAATCACTACAGGGGTGTCTTCATGCCTTAATAAAATGAGGAATGTTTGTGAGCTGCAACCTAGTTACTTTCTGCTCATGTTCCTTGGGGTTTGGAGCTCAGAGCATCTTGAAGGTGAGATGGACGTTCCTCTACCCTGTATTTTAACTGCAGAAGCTCTGTCTGCTTCAGTTTCAATACGTCAGAGTTTAGAGTTCAATCTCATTTGAAAATGAAAAAATAACAGCTAAAATAAAGTTTGAAAATTACTGCCTTAAACAATTTTAAGTTCCATTCCTGTGCTGTGGTTTGGTTTCCCAAATTTCATAGTTTCTCCCACTTAGAGCATAAACCAGTCTTTTATCTCTAGCAGATAATCACTGGGGGAAACCTCTGAGAAAAGTTTCTCTCCTGATCATACATACTTCTCGCCTCAATATTATCCTACCACAACCCAGATGATTTCTGTCTCTACCCATTCCCAGCAGCATTCCGTATTATTTCTTCCTCTCATCTTTGAAATGTAAGGTCACCAGTGCGAAGCTGGTCTGGACAGCTCATGCTGTCTCTAAGTTACTATCGTTGAGTATTTTTCCTTGTATAAACCACTGTGTTTCCTATTTTAGCCATCACTATTGGCCACTTGTTCTCCTTTGGAAAGATTTTTGGTTTTGTTTGTTTGCTAGTTTACATTCTACCTTGTTCTCAAAATGCATAAAATACAGGATTGCATAATATCTTTAAATGATATGAAAATAATACATGCACATATTTAAAAAAAATAAATAGCCCAAACAGGCAGAATGGGAGAAAAAATAGGCCTACTTCCCGGAGGCAACTTCTTTAAATCATGTAGCTTTTTTTTTAAATCCTGGTAATTGCCTTTATATCCGCTACATAATATGCTAATATTTAACTTTTAGATTTTCTATCTATTTATTTCATTTTTTTATTTTTTAGATGGAGTCTTGTCATCACCCAGTCTGGAGCACAATGGCACAATCTTGGCTCACTGTAACATCCACCTCCTGGGTTCAAGCAATTCACCTGCCTCAGCTCCTGAGTAGTTGGGATTACAGATGCACGCCACCACACCCAACTGATTTTTGTATTTTTAGCAGAGACGGCGTTTCACCATGTTGGCCAGGCTGGTCTCGAACGCCTGACCTCAGGTGATCTGTCCGCCTTGGCTTCCCAAAGTGCTGGGATTACAGGCGTGAGCCACCACTCCCTGCCCTGATTTCTGCCTTTACGGGGTTGAGGGGGGTGGAGTTAGTGCTTACCTACCCCATGCTCCCATTGTAGGTGTGTCACTATTTTAAGCAAATGTATTTTTCTAGTATGATGATTATTTAAATGCTGTTCCTGGAAAGGCCAAGCTGTTTTCTAAGAATGAAGCCTACATGAGAACCAAAAAGTGGGAAAACAAAGGTGGAGAAATAAAATGGAGCTATGAATAAGATTAAAGTACATACTCTACAAAAAAAAAAAAAGTATTTCTCTAGTTCCATGAATAAGCCATTGTTTAAATCATTCTCAAACTATAATGTGTATAAAATTCACCTGGAATCTTCTCAAAATGCAGATTCTGATGGAATAGGTCTAGGTAGGGCCTAAGATTGTGCATTTGTGACAAACTCCCAGCTGGTACCAATGCTGCTATTCTATGAATTACGGTTTCAACAATGTCTTATCTGATGGCTTCCAAATTTCAAAGATGTTTGGTAAGTGGCTATAGTAGACTGCCAAAATTCTCACAAATCATTCTCTTCCTTAATAGCTATGTCCTTTGCAATACGGCTTTGCAACTTCTCCCATCAAAACATCTCCATTGGCCTTGTGCTTTCTTTGGCCAATGGAATGTGACAAAGCAGCACTGCAGTTCAAGCCTAGGCTTCAAGAAAACTTCTGGGATTTCCTAGTTACTGCAAAGAAATCTGACACCATGTGAGCAAACCCAGGGTAGCCTCCTGGGGAATGAGTGACCACCTGGAGCAAATATGAACCATCTCAAGTAAGCTTTGTACCCCAACCACCGCAATACACCAACCGGGCACCAGCTGACCTAGCACCTTCTCACACCTGAGCCCAGCTCAAATTGCCAAACCACAAATTCTTCCAAAATGAGATGTCAATTTACACCAGGGGTATCCAGTCTTTTGACTTCCCTGGACCACACGGGAAGAAGAATTGTTTTGGGCCACACATAAAATACACCAAGGATAGCTGATGAGCTTAAAAGAAAAAAATTGCAAAAAGAAAAAACTCATAATGTTTTAAGAAAGTTTACAAATTTGTATTGGGCTACATTCAAAGCCATGCTGGGCCACATGTGGTCCCTTTGGCGATGGGTTGGACAAGCTTGATGTACACCGTTGAGCCTGGTAGTGCTTTAATAGCTAAAGTTAACTTACATAGTCACCAAATCAGGAAATACTCAAAATACACCCCAACCAAATGCTTTATGAAGACCTTTTTGGAGGCTGATTGAAACCAAACCAACATTTTTAAGATAACTTAGGAAATTTAAAATGGTATGAGTGTTAGACGATGTTGAGGAATTATTGTCCATTTTGTGAGATGTGGTAATGATATTATACTTATGTTTTTAAAACGCTCTTATCTGTTAGGGACATAAAAAATGAATACATGCATATGTAAAATAAATATGTACATACACACATATATAAACACATACACACTGAAATATTTAGGGATGAAACAACATTATGCTTGGAATTTGCTTTAAAATACTCCAGCAATTAAAATAAAAGAGCAGGGGACAGGGCATAGAACAGAGAAAATAGACTAAATGTAATGGTGAAAATGTTGGAAGGTTGATAATGGCTACATGGCAGTTTGTCACACTATCCCCTCTACTTTTGTGTATATTTGAAAATTTCCAAAATAATTTTCCATGTTTTTTCCCCACAAAGCGGTTCTTAAAATTATTTCTGAGACTTTCCCAAGTACCTGGAAAGAAAACAATCACTAAATGGAAACACCACATAATGCTATCATTGGCCTGATGATTTGTTCAAATAATCAATAAATTTCATAGCGCCATTGTGGAACTGGGAGGAATCATGCAGTGAAAGTAGAGATTAGATTAGCTAAGAAGTCATAGCAAAAGTCAAACCCAAAGCATGCTTCATGGAAATTACAAAATTAGTAAGGCAACAACAAGGAACCTGGCTAGTCTCATTTTAAGGCCTGTATTTTCCCTCTATAATGCTGCCACTACCTCACATTAATTACATTCAAGTGGCCAAATGTTATAAGCAGGACTCTTCTGGTTGCCAGTGACAGAAAAGCAACTTAAATTACCTTTAGCAATAAAAGCCTAATTTTTAGATTGATCAGTTAAGGTATTAATCGTCAGTTGCTTAAACAACCCCCAAATCTCAGCATCTTAATAAAATAAACATTTCTTTTTGCTCTTGCCACTGATCTGTTGTGGCATGCTTGGCCAGATGGCTGCAAGATGTACTCTTCTGCAAGCCTCAGCCTCCTGGACAATGGATAGGGAAGGGAAATGAAGGATCCCTCATGGGTTGTGATCATGGGCTTTAGCCATATAAGGTGAGAACTCGTAGGCCACACCTAACTAACTACAAGAGTCTGGGAACTGTAGTCAAGCTGTGTGCACCAAAGGAAGAAAAAATGACGAACGCACTGCAATTTTGGCCATGGCTAGACTTTATGCTGGAGAAGGCTGCAATGGTACATTATGCACAACAAGATCCAGGGTTACACCATCATGTGAGATCTCTTTCACATTCTTTCTTCTTCTCTCTTTTCTCTATCATGTTCTGTCTCAGCTCTGTCTCATTCTGTCTGCTGGCTTTTCCCTCCTTCAACTGAAGAATCTTTAGACATCCATACTGTTTGGAAACATAACTTAGTGTGCATTATGTAAATACTGGTTTTTCCTGCATATCACAGTATTAGGTTTTAACCATTCATTGAAGTATCACAGTTTCCACTGGAGTCACATATGGAAGAAATTGCAAAGGTGGTATACTAAATACTGACATTCAGGAAAAGCTGGAATAACATGTTCCTTCCCTTTTCCCTTTTTTCTTTTTCTTTGTTTCTTTTTTTCTTTTTTTTTTTTTTTTTTCTGACAGGGTCTTGCTGTGTTGCCTAGGCTGGAGTGCAGTGGCATAATCTCAACCCACTGCAACCTCTGCCCCCCAGGTTCAGCAATTCTCATGCCTCTGCCCCCCCGCCCCAGGTTCAAGCAATTCTTGTGCCTGAGCCTCCTGAGTAGCTGGAATTACAGGAGTACACCACCACACCCAGCTAATTTTTAATTCTTATATTTTTAGTAGAGATGGGGTTTCGCCACATTGGCCAGGCTGGTCTCAAACTTATGACTTAAAGTGATCCACCTGCCTCAGCCTCCCAAAGAGCTGGTACTACAGGTATGAGCCACTGTGCCAGGACATCATGTTCCTTCCCTCTCAATGCACAGTTTTGTGAGAAAGAAGGACATGCAAATAAACATAGGGAAAACAGGAAAAGATTAAATGTGCAATGCCAGAATTCTAACTAAAGTGCTCTTAGCATTCAGAGGATAGTGGATGACTGTTCAAGAGTTAGAAGGTTTTGCAGAAGGATGATTTCTTTTTCCTCTTGGGAAGGAGGGGTATTCAGGAAGAGGAGTCAGGACATGCAAAAGTACATATTTGAGAGAGTCCATGCACTGAGGGAAGAAAGTCAATGTAGTTGGAGCAGAAAGGCCATGGAACAAGTCAGCAACAAGATATGAGAAGAAGGAAGAGGTTACAGTCTAAATACAAGGTCTTATCTACCAAGTTCAAGATTTTGAGCTGGTGACCGTATTTGTAATGGAGGCTTTGTAATCAGAAAGTCATCCAGTGTGGGGTTGTTTGTTTGGGTGGCAGTGGTTATTTTATGCCAAAAGATAGATAATCTGATGGAGCGTAGTGGATGACTTGGAGCAAGATGATACCAAGGAAATAAGGTCCAGAGAGGAAGCTAATGGAAATAGTGCAGGGAATAGAAGGTGAGGCCTGAGCTGAGACTTTGGCAGTCAGACCAAAAAGGAGAGGAGTTTTTGAATTAGAATTTGTAATATATGGTCACTAACTTGACACAGAGAATAAGAGACATGGGGGAACAGGAGAAGCATCTAAAATTTCCAGATGGCATGTGGATGAATGACCCCATTGATTGGTTGCTTCAAAAAAAATTACAATCCATTTGAGCCATATTTCTATATGTTTAACCTATAGGAAGAAAATTTCTAAGAAAAGAGATTTTGGGTTGAGGTTTTCAGAGCAATCATAAAACACAAAACTTGAGTTAAAATAGTGGAAATTGGCTGGGCACGGTGGCTCATGCCTGTATTCTCAGCACTTTGAGAGGCCAAGGCAGGCATATCACTTGTGCCCAGGAGTTAGAGAGCAGCGTGGGCAACATGGCAAAGCTCGTCTCTACAGTAAAAAAATACAAAAACTGGCCAGATTTGGTGGTGCATGCCTGTGGTACCAGTTACTCAAGAGGCTGAGGTGGGAAGGATTGCTTGAGCCCAGGAGGTTGAGGCTGCAGTGAACCATAATCGTGTTGCACTCCAACCTGGATGACAGAGCGAGACCTTATCTGGAAAAAAATAAATAAAAGTAGAAGTTACATTATGTAAAATTTCATTGCTAGATAGTTTATACAGTGTTTCCAAATGAAAACCAAAGTCAGAAACCAAAGTCAACACACACACACACACACACACACACACACACACACACACAAACACACACACGTTATGCTTTTTTGAAAATGTTTATTTCCTTTTTGTGTTTAAAATCCAGATAAAAATTAGGATAATCCAGAAAATTATGTTGTCTACTACCTGTAGTAGTTTTAGCTGATAAATGTTTAATGGGAAATAAATCATAAGACTATTCTAATAGAGAATTTCTAAAGGACATCACTTAGAATAACGCACAAGGATTGGCTAGTGATGTTTTAAAAGACTCGTAGAAAAGATTTTAGAAAAATAAGGGCAAAGATAGAATATCTACAATAAATTTTGGGAACTAGAATTGAGAAAAGTGCCCAAAGTCACAATTATTCTTAAAGTTCTTTGGAAAATGATGTAGAATGCTTGATGTTTCCCCAAAGCCAACCTAATTTATTGTCAGAATTGAGCCAAGAGAAAAGAGTTAGAAAATTCTTTAAGATGTGTCTAAAAAAGTAATTACATCCTCATCTGTCGTGAATAGATAGCATTTTATATACTTTAATAAGGACAGGATACTCACATCATTAACCAATTTTACTTAGTTACCAATTCCAAATGTTGAATGTTAAAAACACCATAGAAAAATTCCAACCCTAAGGAACTCCAGACTCTTTTCCTGTGGCCAGCACTGCACATCCTTCATAGTAGATGATGAAGGAGGAGTTAAACACAGTTCCTGCCAGCTTTGAAAAATCATCTTACACTACATAAGCAAAGGCCAAGGACATATTGCCCTGGGGAGCCACAGGGCAGCAGTGGAAGGCAGGGCAGCCCCAGGAAAGCTGTGGCTCTGCTCTCCCAAGGCACAAATGGATAATCCTGCTTCCACCACCCACTGTCTTCGAGACTCAGAGCTAGTCACTGAAACCCTCCACGCCTCTAAGATGGCATATTGTTAAAGCTTGTCTTTATTATCTCTTTGGTTTTACATGTCTGGGTGAGGATTATATAATTGATGGACATGCAACATAAAAGCAGAATGGATTCTTCTGTTGATGTTACTGTCGCTATAATACTACTTACATTACAAATCTTGGAGAGAAGTTGAGTATGATATTAAAACAACTTACTGGCTACCATCTGACTCTTTTATAAGCCCCAGAATTCCACAGTGTTATCTCTCAATGTGATGTGCTTATTCGATGTACAAGATAAAGAGGACTGGAAGATTATCTTGGAATTTTATTTCTTCCTTTCAAATGTGGTTTTCTTTTTTTATGTAATACTGGCTCAAGCTCTCCATCCTAAAAAAAAACATACAGTCCTATGGCTATGACCTATCAAACCAAGGGAGGAGTTAAGAGAATCCATATTCTCAGTATCCTCTCTACTGAAAGGCAAAGGCATGTGATACAAAGAATTTGGATTCAGACTTTTTTCAGTTCTGATTGGCCACTTGCTAACTGTGTGCCCTTGGGATGGTGATTTTTCTGGGCCTCAGTTTTTCCATCTTTAAAATGAGGAAATGGGATGGGTAGAAATAATACTTACCTTGCAGAGCTGTTATGAATATTTAAGCAAAGTGTAGAATGTGCCTAGCAGAGGGCTTGGCCAGCAGGCATGTGCTCCTTAAACAGTGACAGCCACTCCTTGTATCACCCAGTAGCAGTCATCTTGCTCCTTCTACCTGAGTCTGCAGAGATTTCTAGATTGCATCATGGTGTCAGTTTGCTGTTCAAACATGGGAAGTCCATAATCTTTTACTGGTATTGACCAATTTTTATAATATGTGTTTATTTTGTTCTTATTATACATAAGAATGGAATAACAGTAAATGAAATACAGAACATAAGGCCTGGAAATTAACAAAATGTGTAGCTTTTTATAATTAGTTCTGTTAGGCATGTAA